TTTGGTAAACTGATAAGGAAATTGCCTACCCCACACCCGAACGATACTCAAGACTGTAGCATATTGAAATGCACCGGAGGGAGCGGGGGAATGGGCTAACGGGTCGCCTGGCAACCAGATGATTGATAAACCAAAGTATAAAGATATAAAATAATTACTAGTTAGAGTCCCGGTGCTAGGGGGTTTTACCTTTGGCAATAATCCCCCGTCCTCTCCCCTGGCCCGGAAAAATACTTGTATAGCGAGGAAGGGAGGACTGAAAAAAAACTAAGACGAGTGCTTTAGACCACACGATAAAAGAATGCGAGATTAATAATATGAAATATAAATTATAAATAATAGCTCATTTTAAAGAGGATTAAATGGTGAATAAAACTCGTGCTCATTTGGTTTTCGACACTATTTGTTCCATTTTCGTCTTTCTAATCCGGCTTCTTGTTAAGACGCAATTTTGAATAATAGCCTATTACCGAAAGGATTAAATGCTGAACATTTCCCTCGCTTGCAGTATAGATACCATGATGTTTAGTTTCTGAGATATTTGAATTCATATCATCAATAAAACTCGTTATTATTTGATTTTCGATACTGTTTTTCCCTTTTCGCCTCTCTAACCCTGCTTCACGTTAAGACACAATTTTTAATAATAGCTCATCACAAAGAGGATCAAATGATAAACATTTCCCGCGTTAACAATATGCAGGTCCGATTTTTATTTTTTGAGACATTTTAATTTGTATGCAAAAACACTTCAATTTATCGACTCCGGCCAACTTTACTCGACGCGTTACACATCAGAGATCTTCCAGCTCAATCTAATTCACTCTCCACAAAAAAAAGTGAAAAACGCGCCTAAAGAAGTTTTCACTTCAAAAATAATAATAATAATAATTAAGATATAAAAATATATCAAACACCCATTTTTATACTGTTTCATATATATTTTATATTTCAAATATAGAAAATTACTCTTTAAGCTGTCTCATATTTATTAATGCCACTACAAGAAGCTACTGGTGCTTTGCGCCACATGCATCAACTCTTCCATCTGACAAACGAACATTGATTAGACAATAAAGAACTTTAAATGACAAACTCAGCCTCTAGTGGTTATTAATACCAGTAATGCGGCTCAGTGCGAGGCGCTGGGATCTCCTAGAGTCCTGCCTTTCTTTCCACGAGTGGGTGAAAGGCTTGGGTCGGAGTTCTCCTGAGTGAATGGATTCTGTAAATATTGTATAGTATGCATGTGTTTTATAGTTGTTATTTTGATTAGCTTAGTTCTTTTGTTTATATACATTTATTTTTATTATTATTAGTTTCTGTATTATTTATTTTTATTTATTGTAAATAGAGTGTGAGTGTGCTCTCTGAACACTATTATAAATGTCCTTGATTGTGACAGAATGTAATATTTCTAAATAAACAAATATAAAAAAAAGAATGACAAACATTTTAAACGATGAAACTACCGCAATTACCTTTCAATTGATGATATAAGCTTATGGAGACAGACTACGAAGCTTGTAAAGCATCGTGAGATATCAGTACTTTCAGACGAAGATGGTTTTTTGGCCGTGTCAGACATTGAAAAATCTGAGCAATTTGCTAACCATCTTTCTTCTATCTTTACACCACATAGTGACTTGTATAATAGTGAACACGAAAGACATATATAAAAGACTTTAGACATTCTATTACCATTGTCATATCTTTCACTTTGCTTTACTCCCAGAATAAAGTTTATTTTCTATCTATTTCTATAAAACGTATAACAACACCTTTATTTTATCTTAATAATCTTTTGAATATTATATTGTATCATGAGATGATAAAACCTCAACTAAACCAATACAAGCCATCAAATCCCTTTAAAGTGAATAAAACTTAATACTGCCTGTTGTAATAAACTTCCAAACCCGATAGGACGATAAAGTTCTTTAGAACGCTTTTATAAAGCACTATAATTTTATTTATTACCCACCCCTATTAAAAGATAACTAACTCTATTAGGGTACTTTTTATTACGCCACGAGTTGTGGGCAAAGTGTTAACATTGGCAATATTTTCAAATTACGGTGGTTTTAAAATTTTTATTTGGGTTAGATTAGGCTACAAAACGTGAGATATAAAATTTTTTAAAACAAATAATGTACAATATGCTACGCAATTTATAAGGAGTAGAAAAAAAAACAAAATAAATTATGATTTTAATTTAAGAATAAGAAATAATTAAAATATTCCATTGAGGAAATTAGGACAACTATATTTGGTATTGTTAAACCTATATACCTTTCCAAAGTATCGAAAAGTGCTTGAAATAATAAAAAAATATATTCAGGCATACTACTAAAATATTAGTTTATGCCTGAAAGAAATATAACTTTATTTACATTAATAATTTTGAAAATATTATTTTTAGTCATTACATATTTAGTAAAGCAAATATATAATTTATCCTTGATACACACCCATATATATATATATATATATATATATATATATATATATATATATATATATGGGTGTGTATCAAGGATAAATTATATATATATATATATATAGGTATATAACATTTAAGTTTTAGATTATAATAGTTGGTTATTTTGGTTGTTTGGCGCAAAACATCTAGGTCATCAGTGCTTTATTAATAAGAGTATTATTTTTAAAATATTTAGCTGGTAGATTTAATGGAGAAAAAATATATAAAGTTAAAAAAAATAAATTAAAATAAAAAATACATAAATAAAAATATATATATAAAGCAAAACAAATTAAATGTATGGTTGGCAAATAAGTCCTTTCGTTTTTTCAGAGTGAAATAAAACTCAATATATTATAAACATAAAATTTATTTTAATCTACAAAATATTGACTATTATTTAGTATTACTTTTTCCCATCTTTCTACTAACTGCATAATGCCATGCTCATAGAATGTCTGGACTTTATTTCATTTTGGAATTTCTTTCCATTCATGGAGTTCTGCATGGACCGGAATAAGTAATAGTCAATCGGAGCTAGGTCTGGTAATTGGGAGGGTGGGGCAAAAATCCTCATGCAAGGCTCAATAATTTATTATGAGTGACCAATGAGGTGTGGGGCGTAGTGTTGTCTTGGTGGAACACAGCACCTTTCCGATCATTCATAACTCTTCAGGATGTTCTCCAAATTCGATGTTGTTGTATCCGTTGGAAAGCTGAACTATTGCTCTTCAACGCCGTATGATTTACTGCCTACATAAGGAATAAATAAACAAAAACTCCTTATAGGATTTTATTTCTATTTGTAATGTGTTTACAAAGGTCATGTTGATGTCATTTTGTGTAGTTTATGTGGCTCTATATTCCTGCTAAATTTCTTGTAGATAGCTAAAGTCATATTGAAGTTATAATATTTTTTGTGATTTTCGAAAAAAAAATCATGTGAGGGATACAAATATTAAGCCTGGAACATAGCCGAGCTTGTGCAAATGGTTTTCTACGCTTGTGTGCGACACATTTACTGCCATAGCGATCTCTCACTAATTGGGTGGGATTTTGATCCACAATTTCCTTAACATTGCTCGAATCAATTTCATGTGGGCGGTCAGACTGTTGAGCATCATTTCCTGAATGGAATTCGGCAAATCAATTTTGACAGGTACGTTCGTTGAGGCATCATCCCCATAAATACCGCACATTTTTCTATGGTAAGTTGGGTAAAGATTTTTTGAACGGATGACTTGATCAGTTTTTAACTTTGAAGGCTGAAATTACTCAATTAGATCCCGTGAATGTTTTGAAACATTTCGAGTTCAAAATACTGAAAACAAATATTATTATAGTTCAAGTATCTCGATTATTAATTGATTTGAAATGATTTCATGTGATCACGTGTTATGAAAACAAATTGTTAATATTTAAAAAAAAAAAATTGAAAAATCTAACTACATAAATTGGGAAATGTTATCCAGCCTGAGGGCTTATACTTCCATATCTACTGATACATTTTTGGTAGATTGATAGAAAAATTGACATCTACGAATATTTAAAATTGGTGTAGTTGTCGGATTCCTATCACACCACAACGAAACTTAAAACTCTTTTGGACATTGGCATCTATTTTATTTAATAATCTATTTATTGAATAATAATACAATCAGCCACTGCTATAAGTATTCTGAGGGCTATAAGTATTAGGGCTAAAAGTTCTCATTCATACAATATATAGAAATAATAGAGAAATAAATATATATAAAAAGTAAATAAATAAGACTGATAAGGAAAGTAAATAAAAAGAAAAAAATAAACAAATAAAATAAAATAACAACTTCTAAACATAATCATACCTATATACAATATATGCATTCGCCCAGGAATCTCCGAGCCAGGCTTTTTCTCCTACATGTGGAAGGCAAAGCAAGACTCTAGGAGATCCCAGTGCCACTGGGGAGACTGAAAGAGGGCACTAGAGCCACAAACGCTCAGGATAAAAGTCATTGCCAGGACTCCAAAGGTATATTTACAAAAGATGTCGAGGCCACTGCCGTTTCAACCTTCGAGGGGGATAGTATGGATGCTCGGGGATTGTGGACTGGATAGGGATTGCGCTAGAGGATTGGGATGATGAATAAGGTTCTGGTGAAAGATGGAGAATCTGGATGGAATGATGTCATGGACATATGGGATGTTAAGGTCATGGTATAGGGTCCATATTATGTCGTGACATAATATGGAGCATTGACTATTGTTCGAAGGACCTGGGACTGGAAGGATTGGATAATTGACATCTATAGATACATGGAACAAAATCTATTTAGCTCTTGGTAATCTGCAAATTTAAAAATACGTATATGTCAATTTTTTTATCGATCTACCAAGATATTTAAGTAGATATGGAAGTATATTTCCTTAGGGTGGATAAAATTCTCCAATTTTTGTAATCAGTTCTCTTTTTGATTCAATTTTTTTTTGTTTAATGTTATTTTATAATATTTAATTTACTAAAATTCCTCTTTAGAAAGACGCAGACCCATACTATATTGCGAGGAAAAAGGGGTGGACCTACAGCAGGAACAGAGATGAGATCGCGAGGACGAACACAGAGTGCCAGAGATTGTTCAAGGAAGATTGGGAGTCGCCAGTGCCGTTCGTGGGGCCCATCCATCGCTTCCAATGGCGGACGACCATGTCCTACTACATGTGTCTCTTTACACTTCGGGTAATTTATAATACTACTTATATATTACATTGATATAGAACCGTATTATCATTAGAGGCCGCTATAAAGTTAGGCAGTGATAATTAATGGAGGCCGTAATAATAATGAAATGAAATGAAAACATGTTTTATTATCCTGAGGCAGTTGTCACTTTAGAATCTATACATATAAAAATGAATGTATGTCTGTCTGTCAGTCTGTTTGTCCTGGGTGCATTACTAAACCATTCATCCGATCGTCATGAAACTTTAGGAAGTTTGTTCCGTACACTCCTGGAAAGGTTTCTGGCATAGTACTTCTGTCTTACGATAATTTTATATATGTAAAAAAATAAAAATGTAAATGTTTTTCTGTTCAAAGCCGCAAAAAAAATGTGTCGCTATAAACTGTAGCGCCAAAACAGTTTTACCGATTTTAACGAAACTTGGCTGAAGTCTTTCCTTTGAAACTCTTTTAATTTATGTGTATAACATACTTTCCCGAAAACAAGCTGAAAAATGTAACGATGAATTGAATATTTTATTTGTCGATAACTAAAAAAGTACAGAATTTTTTACTGATAGTACCCACATTTATTTGAAAGGTTCCTGATTTGCCGACAAAATAATAAAAAAACACCGAAATCGGACGGTTCGTTGCAGAGTTATAGTTTTAAACATTTACTGCTTTCTCTTTAGAAAAGGCCGTTTCCTTTTGCTTCCTCAGTACCGACGGTAGGCAAGCATTTTTTTTTTTTTTTTTTTTTTTTTTTTTTTTTTTTTTTTTTTTTTTTTTTTTTTTTTTTTTTTTTTTTTTTTTTTTTTTTTTTTTTGATTAATCAAAAATTATCATTTGAAGAAGTTATATGATTCTCCTTATGTAGGTCAATACTATTATACGTTCTTTATATTAATTTTTTATTTTAGTTTTATAAGTTCAACTCATACTGTTTCTGATGATTATGAATGACGGCGTATTCACTCAGATGATTATGAATGTTCAATTTGAAACATGAGAAAAAAAAATCATTAGAATTAATTTAAATTGAAGCCATTTTACAGACAAATTTGTTTCTCAACTTTTTAAAAATGACAGATGTCCTTTGCTATTAATCTACTCATATGTGCTTTCTATTTTCTTTCTTTTTCATTTTGCCAGGCTAAGCCACAGCAGCGCGTGGCCGGGTAAATCTAGTAAATTATAAATACGAAGTTAACGCTCGAGTAGTCATACATTAAATTAAATATTAACTAATTAAAATAAATATACAGAAAGAAAAATAAATAAATAAACAACAACAAAAATACAGGCTACCCGTAAGCACAAGTGGATATCGACTGCATTAACAGATGGCCTGAAAGGAATAAGTTAAAGTTAAGTTAAATGCAGATAAAACTAAGGCTATTCTCATCGAGTCCATGTATCTCATTAGTTCCCTTCTCTACTTTCCTCTACTTTACCTCAATAACCATCCCATCCATTTTTCTCTACCTAAAACCTAGGTTTAGTGCTCTCTCTCAGTCTCCACCGGACTGGTAATGCCGGTGACGCAGCTGAGAGAGAAGCGCTGGGATCTCCTAGAGTCTTTGTCTTTGTCCTTCACACGTGGACTCGGAGATCTCTTGCCTGATTGTAAATATTGTAATTTTTTTTTAAAACTTATTTATTGAAAAATATTACAATCTGTCTCTAGGACATTTATAATAGAGTTCACAGATCACATTCATACTCTGTATACAATAAATAAAATAAATTATACAGAAAATAACGTATATACAATAAATAAGAATAAAATAACCTAAAAATAAATAAATAAAAAGAACACATACACACCTATATAAAATATTGTAATTAAGTATGAATGTTTTTCTTGTTAATATTTTCTTCTTTTTTTTTATCTATTTATTTCTTTTACTTATAATTTATTTAATTTTGCTACGAATTTCTTTATTTTATTTAATTTTAACTCTAAGTTACATTTCCTTGATTTATTATAGTTTTTGCCTATGTTATACAGATGTATACTTTTTTATTGTATTATATATGGTATGGATGTGCCTCACTCAGCTTTACTACTCAGCACCCTTAAGTGTGGCAAAATGTATTATTTCTCAATAAAATATATTTTAAAAAATAGAAATAACCTTTGACCAGAACCTCTCCTGTTATAATCATATCTTCCAAATTATCCGAAAATCCATAACTGTCCTTAAACAACTCCTAAGATGATTGTATTCCTCTAAAAAAATACAGCTCCTTATAACCTCTGTTTAGGGAACCCATCAAAATTCATATTTAAATTTAATTTGAATTAAATCAAGAAACAACACAGCTGTTATCTCGAACATACTGCATATAGCTCAGTTGTTAGTGTGACGCCGTCATTATTGAATGATCCAGAGGGTCAAACCAAAACTTGACCAGTGACCACCAATCACTATCTTAAACAAGTACATATGGTAGGTTTTCTGTTCGTCTGTTTGTCTCTTTCGATCTCTTGTTCCCCGTCAATCCTGATGGTTAACCTCCATCTTCAATGTATATATTTTTATTTGTATATTCTTCAAGCATTTTAGTTCCTTTTATATTCGTTAGTAATCTTAGTTTTATAAATATAAGTGCCAAAATTCTTTACTATAGAGGCCGGCAAGAGGCCAAGAAAGGAAGAGAGAGAAGATGAACAAGAAGACTAGCAAATAAAAGAAAAGAGAAAATGCAAGTATCCCAACCCACCTATATTTAACCTCCGTATAAAATTACATGTAATAAAATATAGCAATCAATTTTAAATATTCACTTCCTTAATCCATTAACTCCTCTAATTTTATAGTCCACAGCAATAAATTATCACCAGCTCTTAAAGCAGAATTATTATGACAATATCCCTGACACTCTTAATAAATAAATTATTACATAATAAATTAAACAACCTCTCTTATATTGCTCCACTTAGACTACGGCTGCTTGCTGTATGGAGGGCTGTCTCCTAGACTAGAAATAAGATTAAAGAAGCTCATGAACTGTTTCATAAGATACATTTTTGGAATCCCAAAGCGCTCATCGGAAGCCAGAAATTTAAAAAAAAAATTATATTATTAATTCTGCTTTGTTGATGTTTTTCACTTCTGTCGTGTAGTGTTAACCACACACCTCAGTTTTTATTTTTTTAAAGGATCTGAAAGAACTAAGAATCTGTTTAAATCAATGCAAATACAATTTTTTATTCCGTAATACTATTCAGTAGTAGTATTTTTTTTTTTCAGATAAACTCCTAAATTCGCGGAGAACGAAGGAACACAATTGCCATCCATTAGAGATAATTCCCACCGCTAGGCGAGCATGATGATACACAAGAAGAGAGACGGGGTCTGTGTGTGCGGGTTCGGATGAGATTGGGTTGGTTAGGCTAAGCTCGGCGATATTACTCTCTCTCTCCGGCAATTCTTCATCTTACCCGCGCCCCCCCCCCTTCAGCAATTTAGGAAATTTTCTCACACATTCCCCGCCATTCTTTTAAATTCCTCTTCTCTCGCCTCGTTCTGGAATTTTATCACGTTGAGGCATGCTTAATTATCGCTTCGAAATTATTTGATAATATTTGAAGTTATTGCTCAACTATTTTCTTAATTATTACAATATGAAAGGAAATTGTACCTTATAGTGATATAAAAATTAAAACTAAGGTTTGAAATCGATAAGTAAAAGAATAAAAAAAAAAATCTGATCAAAATTTTTAAAAATCATTTTATGATTTTTTAAAGAGCGAATTCTTTTTTTTTTAATAAGTGATAAATATCATATTCTGATCATTATTTTAGAACAAAATTGTTACAATTAGGAATAATAATAATTCTTGAGTAGAGATAGATAGATAGATAGATAGATATTTTATTGGCTATTATGTACATCATTTAGCCATGGAGTCTGGCCCATTTGGTGTTAGTAGTTGTTAGTATTGAATGGAAATGAAAGCATAAATAAAGATATAAATACGTATACATATGTAAATTCCTATTTCTTATTATAACCTCCCAATATAACCCAATAATACAACGAATTGAAAGAGAAAAAAACAAAATAAAATATGTATATAAATATATATATTTTCCCAATATGTAAATAGAATAAATAAACAAATAGATAATTATTTATAAACCCCAAAACAATAAAAAAAAGTGTATATCTGGAAATTAATTAATGATTCAATAATATATCGAATTAGACCTTTGTCTTTCTCTTCCCTTTCCCTCTCTCCCTCTCTCCCTCTCCCTTACATTCCCAATACTACATAAATAGAACTAAATAGTTATTATCAAAGTTATATACATATAAATAATTAAATGGTTATTCCTAAAATAATATAATATAGTCCTTATTCTAAATACCTATATATAGTTTTTAACAAAAAGAAATAGTTGTTATCTAATAATTCTTGAGTAATGCACTTTTAAATCAGAAATATAATTTTTTTTATTATTCTCTGATATATTTTGAATCTGGAGTAGTAGGTTGAGAATATTGTCAACTATTTGCAACACAATATCTTTATTTCCGAAATTCATTGGAAATTTTGGCTTACAAATATGTATAAATATATACTGTGCAGGTACCGCGTGCACCATTCAGGCGATTCCAGAAATATATGATCAAAAAATTTGTTCATGAATGTGATTTTTATTTTCTGTTAAATGTAATAATTATTATTAATTTAAAATCGTATCACTCAGTGAGTGATCATTATTTTTAATCAAATCAATAAACATCAAAAATCTATTTAAATTGATATTTATAAATCAGTCATGATATTTAAATTAAAAATCAAATATATAATTATTACATGATTGAGTGGAAAAAATAATTATCGATTTCAAACTCTGAAAAAAAATAGATTATGATGTTAATTTAAGAATAAGAAATAATTAAAATATTCCTTTGAGAAAATGAGGACAACTGTCTTTGGTATAGTTAAACCGATAAACCTTTCCAAAGTATCGAAAAGTGCTTGAAATAATAAAAAAATATATTCAGGTATACTACTAAAATATTAGTTCATGCATGAAAGAAATATAATTTTATTTATATTAATAATTTTGAAAATATTATTTTTAGTCATTACATATTTAGTAAACATGATACACACACACACACACACACACACAAATATATATAATATTTAAGTTTTAGATTATAATAGTTGGTTGTTTTTTGGTGTTTTAGGCGAAAACATCTAGGTCATCAGTGTCTTATCCATATAATCAATAAATTTTTATTTATTTAAATCTTTAAATTTAAATAATATTTATTTTAATCAAATAAATAAACATCAAAGATCTATTCAAATTGATATTTATAAGTCAGTCATGATATTTAAATTAAAAATCAAATATATAATTATTACATGATTGAGTGGAAAAAATAATTATCTATTTCAAACTCTGGTACTAAGAACGGCTTTTTTATTTATTTGTTGAGGAACGTAATATTCTTTCTTTCTTTTCGTTCCAGTCTTGTATGTGAGTCGTTGTCCAATTATTTTTAAAATACATTGCTTAAAGGGAGAAGAACTTTTTCATCTATTTCAGGTCATATTCTGAGTGATTATATTTTTGTAATTCTTTTATTTTTGTATTGCGCTTTGACCACTTAGGATAAAGCTACAATTTCGTTTCTTCTTTTGTGTGCTCCATACAAAATATATGTGTGCTACATACAATTATTATGTGTTCGTGCGATTTTATTGAAATTTATATTGATTGAATATTATTATTGTTTTTATAACTCATGTTTTTAATGATTCAACTTCAATTTTAGTATTTCGGATATGAATTACATAAATATGTTTATAAATGCCAATAGAGAGAAAGTATAAATTAAAAAATAACTTATTTCCATTCCTCAATATTCCTTATTTTGTCACAAAGAAAATCATCCTTAACATACCATATGTTTTCGATTCAGCCCATTCCTTCCATAACAAACTTTAAAACCATTCAAACCCTCTCGTTTCAAACCTTGCTTCCTCTTCGATACCTGATAACCCTTCAAGGCATCTGAAAAGAAGATGACCTCGTGATCTACTTATGTAAATATATTATTACAGTGCTACCAATGGGTAGTTTCTCAACAAGCGTTTTCATATGATTATATTATTCCTGTATACACATTTATTCGATTTAATTTTTATTATTTTAATTTAATACAATTGTAAATATTATGAATAAATACATTTAATTTATTTTTTGTTTATTTAATGAAATTTACAACTGTATAGAAATACAACCAGTAAATATACGCAAATTAGAAATAATGACATGAACAGGCTTGAAGAGAGACTACCCAGTGCCTAAATAATTCTAGGTAAGAAGACCACGAGACCATCTCTTTTTCAGACGCCTAGGAGGATTATCAGGAATCGAGGAAGAAGCAAGGGTGGAAACAAGTGGATTCGGATTGCCGTGGAGTTATCATGAAAGGATAGATATCTGGCTCGGGCTAAACCAGCGACATATGGCACATTAAGGTCTTTATGAATGGTTTTATTTGTGACAAAGTATGGAGCATTAAGGATTTTTCGAAGGATTTTGGATTGTTTGGATTGGATCCGATAGGAATATATACACTCTAATGATAAGGCTACATTAGGAGATCACGAGCCCATCTTCTTTTCAGACGCCTCGGAGGGTTATCAGAAATTGAAGAGGAAGCAAGGCAAGAAACGAGAGGGTTGGTTTATTATGGAAGAATAGGTATCTGGATTGGACCAGATCTGAAACATTTAGGTCATTATGGATGGTTTTATTTGTAACAAAGTATGGAACATTGAGGATTTTACGAAGGATTTTGGATTGTTTGGATTGGATACGATAGGAATTTGATGGTTTGATGAAGCCCCAAAGCTCAACTCCGTATGTCCATATAGGAATTATTATAGATATGTAGTCGTTTGTAATTGATTGAAAGTTTAGAGCTTTTGTCTAGTAAGTGTTGGAGCAGTCGGAAAAGTCGACCACTTTTTTGTTGTTTCAGTCTAGTATGAGGATTCGAAGTAAGACGTTTATCCAAGTGGAGTCCTAAGTAGCGGATTTGCTCAACAGGAATAAGTGGAGTATTATTGAAGGATACTTTAGGACAAGAAAGGATAGATGTACGACGGAGGATAAAGGTGATTGGAGGGGATTTATTGGAATTTATTTCTATCCTCCAATTTTTATATCATTTTTCAAGGCTTGTGATGTGTGATTGAAGAGTTTGGGATGCAATTAAAGGATCATTATTAACAGATAGCAAACATGTGTCATGTAAGTAGTGATGACAGTTTTAGGATGGGTTGGGATATCAGCTGTATAAACTGTGTAGACGATGGGACCGAGGATACTACCTTGTGGAACGCCTGCATGAATAAATAAATAAAAAACTTATTTTTAAAAACTAACTAGATCTCTCATACTTCCTCATGACTATAAAAAAAAATCCTTGTGGCTTTAAAATTAATTTTAATAAAATTATCTGAGTTATAAATTTTTAAAAGACAGTATAATTTCAGGAACACCCAGATCTATCCCTGTTCGGTGAACCTTGCAATAATTACGCCAACTGCTGGATGGATGGGAAACCGGATGGTTTATCCGATCCGAGAGCCGACGACCGAGTACCCTTCAACTGTGCTCGCTTCAGGTAAGCAGTAATAATTATATTATAATAATTTTATTATACAGGGTGTTCCGTAAGTAGGAGGGAATTTTATAGGAGTGGCAGCAGACCTCGAGAACTAGAAAAAAGTTCGGGAAAATGTAAGCTCCATCGTTTTCCTCCACTTCGACCAAGATTGGTTTGTGTATGGAGGACTGTCTGGAAGACAGAAGGTGAAATTGAAGAGACTTATGAACTATTTTATAAGATTCATCTTTGGAATTCCCAGGCGTTCTCATGTTTCCTATTGGTACGAGTAGAAGTGGCTCTATCCTATTTCCGGCCACAATTCCTACTTGGTGTTTTCCTTTTCCAGGTCCTAAGAACCAAAAATCCTCCCTATATCATGGAACTCCTCACTATACATCCCTCTATCCACTTTCTTAATACCAGACCTCAACCTATTGATTTATATATACCTTCTCACAAAATTGCATCCTTCAGCAAATCCTTTTTTATTCCTGCTACCTCCTTCTGCAATTCTTTACCTATCACCATACAGCTATCCTCATCCACAAATTCTTTCAAACAACTCTTATTCCACCATCTACTTCATATTCGAACTTCCGCAACCATATAAAATTCACTTGCGTATGTACAAAGTCTAATTCAATCAACTGCACAATTGCAATAACATTCACCCGTTGATTAGGCTTTTTTTTTATTCATCTAAGCCAGACTGATGTCCTTAATGATGTAACTCTGTTATTATTCTTAGGGGACTTTAGTACCAGTATAAAATTATTTTTTCATTTCTTAAACAATGAGCTAATTTTCAGCAGGAAAGTAGGAAATCCAAGTTTTGTGTTTTTTTAAGTGACTTTTTTTTTGTTGAATAGGATGCGATAATTAACGAAATATTTAATCTAAGAAAGAGGGTTTTAATGGGTTATAAAAGATCTTTTATTAAATTTTAATAACGTTTTTTTGGTTTAATAACTTTTTGATACGATGATAGATCTTTTGTTTATTTATGATATTTACAACTGCATTCATATAAATACATCAAGTAAATGTTAACATAGAAATATAATCACTTGAAAACGCTTGTTGAGAAACTACCCACTGGTAGCACTTCAATAATACATCAACATAAGGAGATCAAGGAGATAGAGTTTTGCCTACTGATGTCTGTGACACAAATTGAATGCGCATAATTGAATTTTTGGGACCTAACTCTATATATTCTAGTATATATTCTATGGTAAAGTCTATAATAAAACTTTGAACACTGTTTAGCCTGTTTGTTTTTTTTTTAAATAATGAAATTCTCAACAAAACTATATACAAATCGTTCATTTCACGAAGTTACAGTAATTCAATTTCCAATGTAATATTACGGGTTCATATCCTAGTGTTAAAAAGGGGTGACTGTGAGAAAAAGGAGTGAAAGTAAGAAAATCTGTTGCCTGCATCACACAAGCTTCACTATTTGCTCTACTTTTAACAGAAATTATTGTTTGACAAAATCAGGCTACGGCAAAAAGTCTTTGATCGGCAATATTAGTGGGTATTGAAATTTTTACAGTGATCTACCTTAAGCCGGTTTACATTGCTTTAGTTTATCAAATAAATCATACTCAAATCTTTTATCAATTTTTAGGAAAATAAATCTAATTAATTTTTTTTTTGTTTCTTAATGGACATATGTAAAGATATTGAAACTTTTCTGAAATAGGTAGAAAAGTCGTGTGAGTGGACACACCAGATTTTGTTTTATTTGGTTTTATACATCAAATAGGAATTCATTATAAAAATAAGATGTTTGTTGATAAGTCTTTTAAACATTCTTGTATAATCGGCTTCCTCGGTTTTTTCTTTTCGTCGGTAGGTAATCAATAGTGATCAAAGAAGGATTCGGAAGGTTGGAGGAAATCCCATTCGTTGGAGAGGAACCCTTGATAGTCCTTATTAACAAGCTTCTTAAAACTACTTAACTCGCTTCTTCTGCTAATTGGAATATTTTTAGCCATCCGATTTCTTTCAGGAAGCAATGACCTCTACCTTTTTCTTTTCTATAGCTTCTTTAAAAAAATATATAAAAGGAGAGTTTGTTTTTTCAGTTGCGCAATTCAATGGCTTTAAAAAATGACAAATTTACTCCATTGAGAACTCCCACTTTAGATAGCTCCCACATTAAGCTACCTCCACCCAAATGCAATGGACATAATATGTCCTTATATTATAAATCACGTCAGAGGAACATGTTTATTCGTTTATCACTTCATTCAGTGAGTGATCATTAGTTTTAATCGAATCAATGAACATTAAAGATCGATTTATTTTTTGGTTTATTATTTCAATAATCAACCATTGTGATCGACCAAAAAATTCAAAAACTTAAGCCCCTCTCAAAATTTGAGGTTTCACGACGCGTAAATTCGAAAAACGAATAAAATTTGTTTTGTCCGTCCGCCGTCCGCCATTTTCTCCGAAACTATTGGACGGATTTTTTTTCAAATTTTGATATAAAATCAGAGGTCACTTAGGTTACTTTCTAAATGGCGGCCGAAAAACCTGCGTTGCTATAGACTGTACCTCCTAAACGAATGTACATATTTCAATGAAACTTCGCTGAAGTCATTTTCTCGACGCCCTTTAAATTTATCTATACAACATACTTCAACGAAAAGAAGCTGGAAAACAAAGTTGCGAGGGATGGTAAAATTGAATTCCGAATAACTCGAAAAGTTTACACTTTTTTGTTGATATTGTGATAAGAAGTTTCAAAGGTATTTAAATTTCCTAAAAAAACAAAAAAAAAATCATTAAAATCGGGCAATTAGGAGCAAAGATATGGTCTCCAGTTTTTTTTTTATATGTTCTACTCCAGATTTTATAGCCTTGGTTTGTTTGTTAAATTTTGAATGTGTTACTGAACTAATGCTATTTTTTTTTTAGCATATTACTAATGATTAAAGAAAAAAAGTTTAGTCCAATAATTGGAATCACCTTTTGTTTTGTTTTTTCTTTGTAACTCGGAAGGTAATGTTACTTCAGATGTATAATTGTTTGGAAATAATAAACCATTGTGAAATAATTTTCAGCGTTTTATTTAAATTGAAAATCAAATATAATAATTATTAAATGATTTAGTAAAAAATAAATTATCGATTTCAAACTCTGGTTCTAAGAACAGCTTTTTTATTTATTTGTTGAGTAATATAAAATTTTTTTCAATTGGACAATAATTATAATAAGGTAAGAATACATTTATACTGTATACTCACAAAATATGAAATGAACAGAAACAAAATAACAATGAAATAATAATCAAAAAGCTTAAAGTGACAAAACGGGTTTTTGCTTGTCATGTAAAGTAACCCTCTCAAGACTTACCTCTTTCAATGCCAACGCCTCATATTTTCCATCTTGTTTTATAACTCTATTTCAAATATTTTAATATGATTAAAAATATGGTTCGGTGCGCGCATCACATAACTTTCACTTACCACTCTCTTCTTATCAGAAATAAGTATTTACAGACAAAGGGGAAGTGAAAGTAAAAATTATAAACACTATATTGATTTATATTTCATTGTGGGTATTTTTTGTTTGTATTAGTACCCTTATATATACAAATTTTAATATTTATATCGCTGTAATCTATACAATTAAAGATTAAATAATACCAACAATTGCATTTATGAAAACGGCATATGTATATTTACATAATATTGTCGGAGTTCGTATTATATGAAGCTCATGTTACGTATGGAAGCGTGTTCTAATCTTTCGGGTGAGCTCTCTTATTCCTTGGTTCCTCAATTACAACTATTCTCAATGATGTAGAGATGGTTGATCGTGATATAATATCAGAAGGAGTTGGTAGGAGGGGCGGAGGAAGGTACGGTCAAATAAAATTTATATAAAAATATTATTAAAATAATTTATAATGGTGCTATAAGCGAGTAAATTTCTTCTTTTTCTATACACATTTTCAGATTGTTAATATTCATTTATGATGTTATTATGGATTGATTTTATAAATGGGCTAATGTCTAATAGCAAATGCTCTAAGAGATTTTTGGTATAAAACAGGGTGTACAAAGAAAATGACCATTTTATCAAATTGAAGATTTCAAAGTAAATATTTTAATCCTATTTAATACTTAATAATCCATTTAGAGCATTTCTTAACCTTTTTTAATCCCATTTAACTTCTTAAAAAAAAAAAAGTTATTTGTTTATTTGTTAGTTATTTGTTTCAAAGAAGAAACATAACAGTTTCCTACGAAATTCTCGCAATTTAAGGTCATTACTGGAAAAAAAATTTTCAGCCGTTGAAGCAACTCGTGAAATTATTAAATATGAAGGGAAAGGTGTCCTTGATCAGCGAACTGCGCGGCATCGGTTTGAAAAATTTAGCAGTGGAGATACGGCGTTGGGAAGGAAGAAGGGTTCCGGGCGATCATTAATGGATATTGATGAGGTTCTGAAGGAAGCTGTTGTGGCATGTCCGTCCACAAGTACTTACTAGCGAAATCCGAATACCAGTAAGCAATGGCTAGATTGCTGTCAAACTGCTTTTCCGGCTGCTGCAAGGGGTCAATTTGAAAAAAAAAATCTATTCTTTGTATTATTTTTTTGGAATTTTTAATGTATTATTCATCACGAATTTGTTCCTTATGATCAGAGCGTTATCCTACTTTGGTCAACCGAAAAAGAATATTTTATTCTAACAAGAAGATGCTCGTCCTCACATTTTTCGTCGAACCCATGAAAAGTTTAAAGAATTTCATAGATTCGAACTCCTGCCTCATCCACCATATAGTCCAGACCTCGCACCATCGAATAACTACTTATTTAGATCCATGGTTCATTACCTTCAAGACAAAAAATGAGATAACTTCGTGAATGTTGAAATTACGGTTCAAGAGTTCAAGACAGCCATCCCACAGAATGATATCAGCGTGGGATAGAGCAACTGGCTAGCAGATGGCTAATGACGGTAGATAACAATGGACTATACTTTGAGTATTAAT